TGCTAAATAAATAAGAATATGACAATGAAAACCAATAATATTCACAACAGAGTTCCCGGCAGGATGTTATTCGGCTCTCCCTTTAGTCAATGGTCATAAATATGTTCACACAGGTCCTTCTGTACCTGTACTTTGTACCTTCAAGTTACCTGCAAATTCGCCATTTTGGGGAGGAGGTACTGGTGAATTGGTCTTATTACTGAACCATAAACAGTATATGTCATTTGTCTTTATAGATCATTTCAGTGTTTATCGCAGGTATCCCAAATAATGCATTTTAGGGTAACCCTGGGCTCATGAAATGAAAGAGGAGACTATGTAATGCACATTGTCAACAGCAATGCCGTGTCACCGCAGCAGCAAATGGGACCTTCCAAGTCAGCTAGACTGTCTTTCAGTAAGTAAAACAGTATTTTCTACTGTAAAAAAAAAAGAGCATCAAAGCACCAACAGAAATTGATCTTGAAATCTTTTCAAATTCAAGGAGACTGCTGCCTGGAAATGCTTGTCCTTGTTGACCGTACCAAGATAGAGGAACAGTTGTTTCTTTGAAGTTAGAGCATCAATAATTTAACATTTAATACATTTTCTAGCCAACCAAATGACGATGTATCTTTCAGGGAGTGTAGTCACATGAAAACCAAAGCCATCCACGGTGGCAGATGGTAAAATATAGAATTATGTTCACATTTAAGTATGAGAGACTTTTGTTTTTCAACTATTGTGTTTCAACTATTGCAACAAAACAGAATACGTTTTGACATTGTGAGTGCTTATTTTTCTGTATTTTTTTTCACACCTGATTGATTATTTATAGCATTTTTTTGGGCGAATGGTTTGGGGTGATGGAGCAATTGTTGAGCTAAAGGGGAATAATCTTGCTGTAGAAAAAAAACCACCAGCCCTCCTTGATGGAGGATTTTACTCTGAGATGGGAAAACACAAAGGTAGGTGTGCAATCGTTCCTCCAGCTGCTACTTGGAGATGTGCACAGATTCCTGGGTGGAGGCATAGCGGCCTTCAGAGGGAAAATCAGGTGCTCAGGGTCGCTGTGCTGATGTAATTCCACCTGTCCCGCGTTCCCTGTGATAGGTATAAATAGGCACCTTATTTTTTTTTTGGCCCTAGTAACTGCAGGAAGCCACACAGTCTAATACAAAACTGCAGGAGTCTGTCCTACAAAACCAAAGTTAGTCCTTAGTTTTAGCTGTCAGCTCCTTTTCTATCCTACGGCGTTCCCGCAAAAAATGACACCGTTTCCCCAAGGTAAAGATCCTGTTCCCCACCACGCCCCATGTTACGGTTCTGTCTGCCATCTCTAACAGAGACAGCTTCCCACCCTGTACTCCTTTTAGTCCCGGTACGCATGCTCGGCTAGTGACAATGGAACAGCGTAGCGTCACCCACCAGAGAAGCTGAATGAGACAAGGTAGCTGACTGTTTATGCAACAACAAATTCAACAACTTCACTACGGGACAAAACGTGAAATTCTCTACCTCGAATGCAACTCTGAGGAACAGCAGCTTGGCTGTGTTATACCGCAAGATCTAAAGACATTGAAAGATATAGCTATCAGAACAATGCTAAAAACATGTTCTTCAACCAGGTCTTCCGGCAGGTGAGACTGCTGTATGGAACGGTGACAGGTGATGACACTCCATCGTCATGGATGATGAAAGGCCTCTGCAAAGTGCTGCAGGTCAAGTCAAGGAACCACTTTTCAAGTCGCCTATTGGTGCAAAAAACCCAGAGGAAGATGGTGGCCCAGGGATACTATAGATTCATCTGTCGCATCACATTTTACCTGCACGCGTTTTCACTTAATTTAATTTGCCCTTTGTAGTCAGCAGCAACATGCGAATTTTGGCACCTTGTAGGAGAAACAGACATTGTGACTCTTTCTGTAGATCATGGGTAATAGAGTGGGGTGGGGTGTTTTTGGGAGAAATAATGACGCTCTGTTGTGACAGCGGCTGTCAGAATTGTGGTTGGTCTGAGACTAACTGTCATAACAGCTGTGTGGTGGCAGTAATGAGCAGCTGCACGTACTGCAGCAGATGCCAGTAACAGAGCTTGGCAGCCCAAGCCTTGCTAAACGTACTTAAGGCCTTTTAAGCCACAAGCTGCATCCGAACGCTTCCCTTGCCGGTTTCCATGATGACATGCACATTTTGTAGGTCACCTTTCCCTGTAGCTCTCTCTGAAGCCTGTGGGGCCCAGTCTGGGTAAGCTATTGACAAGGCTGACATTTCCCTCTGCACTTCCAAAAAGACCTGACAAGGCAATGTTCAATCTTTAGCATTTACTTCCATACTTCCAATAAATGCATATATGTCTATTTAGAAAGTACATTGCTATATTCTTTTATATATCAGAGGTAGGTACAGTATAAAGTAGGTTTAAATGCCATGATCAGATATAAAGAGATTCCCATGTTCAATGTCTATAAAGGGCAAAACATTTTAAATGGCTCAATTTGTTTCTAGAAATGATGTTTTTCATAAGCAAATAATGGACTGACACTGGTATAATATATACTATTAATTGTTGCATATGTTATTTGTTAGGAAAAATGAACTTCAGGCTTTTATATGATTTTTCTGTGATTTAGAGGAAAGCAAATTACTATTCTACCTACAGGGATTCACACAGGTGATCTCATCCTCCATCACACATTGACAGTATTAATGAGGAGCAAACGCATGCACACACACACACACACACACACACACACACACATACACACAGACTACCTTAACGCCTACCCAGCCCTAACCTTAATCATAAGTTACCAAACAAAATACAAATCTTTTGACATCTTTATTTTTTTTACTGCAGTCACAGATTTTACAAAGAAAAAATAGTCCCCACAACATACTGTATATAAATAACAGGTTTTTGTAATGCATATCTGACCCACACACACACTGCATAGGAAAAACTGAATTGGTTCAGCACGGTGCTCTGGGGGAACCATACTGTACCATTACCTCAAGAAGAAGCTACTGTAAGCATTGTGTTGGCATGGCACACCATGAGCTTAACCTAGTCTGAAGATGGCATTTGCTTTGTCAAACATCTTCAAAAAAATTAAGAATCAGCACAGAAATGTATTGAGAAAATCTTGACAATATTACCTGGCTCTTACAAAAATGCCATTGTAATATGTGCTTCAGAATTAACTTCATTCACTTCATTAATTTGCTAAAACAGCATGCAGTCCTATACTTTTCACATACTTTTTAGTCATATGACTATACTCAGGCTGTCAGAAACAAGGCTACAGTTTTGTAACCCAAGGTACAAACAACATTAATGTCCCCCAATGGTACAAAACTGTTCCTCAGAGTCCATTTCTGTACCTTAAAATGTACAATTACCTTCAGCTAGGGTACAATTGACAAACCCTTGAGGGTACAGCCCCAGTGACAAGTAATTGTACCTTCAAAAGTACAAATTGGTACTTTTTTCCTGACAGTGTATGGGTATAGTCTGAGGACATTTTACTTTCCTGGGCAATTTTGTTGTTGCTGCTCTTGTTGTTTTAATAAGCTTGAAAGGTTTGCCACTGGTTAGTTTTATTAATCCCATGAAGGGAAATTTCAGTGTTGCAGCACCATATATCAGCCATAATCTAAGACCTGGGATTGTAACTGTATAAAGTGACGAGTGCCAAAATATGTAAGCACTGGCCATGAGGTTAAGTGGTTGGTTCCCTGAATTACCTACAATAATGGAGGTTTGCCTTTTAATTCATATTTGTCATAAGTTTAATAAAATGACTAATATTGTAGATAACTTAATATTTAAATGTAAAAAATTAAAGTCATACGTTACATAAAGTTACATTTTAAAAATATACAATATTATTATTACATGTTTTGCTAATTCTAAGACCTTAATAGAGTTGCCTTTATTGAAATATAACTATTGAGTTGCAGTGCATATTTAAAAGATTAATACTTAAAATAACAGAAATCTATCTAAATACATTTTATTTTAAAGTGTATTGTTATTTTCCATCTAGAATTAAAAGCTACTAAACTTTTAGTAGTACACACGACCGTAAACATTCCATGGTGTAATGCAATTGCACTACAGACATCCACTAAAAGCTATCAATTCTTTTTGCCTTTGTATACAGCAACACCTTGTGGTCTATTCAGTAATTGCCAAGATGCAAAACAAAATATGTCATACTTATTATTAGCAAAATACATAACAAAAAAATATATAGGCTACATACTAAGAAAGAAGTCTTAAAATGCTGGAGTGGCTTTGTGGTGTTTTATAGATTGGGAAGTTTCTAAATAAACGTGAAACTGAAAATGCGACGAAGCTCAAATAAGGTGATTTTTAAAATAAAATTAATGAAGCACATCTTATTTTTTGAGCAGAGCATAGTATTACAGTATCTTTGATCAATGACTAAATGTAAAATCGCACAGCTGATTTTATGCCATTTCAATATGTTTGCCTTACTCTGTCAGCAAAGATATGTGGTAACTCTTTACATAGACTGCACCTTCATAATGCCTTTATGATGCATTCGTACCTTCATAATGCCTAGAACATTAAAAAGCCACATGTAACCATACCTTAACATCCTAACTTCTCAGCTTTCATATACATTAATAACAAACATTATATGATAATAACAAACATTTGAATATTATGTTTATTGATGTATATTATTAATGTGTATTATTAATGTATATTATTAATGTGTATTATTAATGTATATTATTTATGTATATTATTAATGTATATTACATCCCGTAACAGTACATCACTCTACCGGCCACTGGATCTGAACTGCTGAACTTTTGATTACAGACACAGCCACAGTGTCACACAGCACCCCCAGGATTCAATTCCATGTTGTAAAACTATAAAATGTGGTAAAGTCCAAAGGAGTTGAATATTTGAGTTATTTTATATATATGATGTAAGCTTCATTAAACAGTAATACAAAGAGAGTGGCTCCCTAGAACCAAGATCAAATCAAATCACAGTTTATTTATCAAATGCACAACAATGCAACAAACAGCCATGCTGGCAATGAAATGGGTTTCCTCAAAAGCTTCCTACAGTAAGTGCTATAAGAGAAATAAATTAGACATAAAAAGTAAAACAGTCAAAATATTTAAGAAAAAACTAAATAAGTAAAAAGGAAATGTGCAAACTGTCCATGCCAGTGGCATTAACAGCTACTGAGCAGCTTCACTGCTAGAGCATAGAAACTGTTCTTGAGCCTGTTTATCTGTGCTCCAGTGCTCCGGTACTGTTTCCCTGATGGCAGGGGTGAGTTTGTAGATGAGGATGGATATGGTCCTTGAGGATGGACCTGGCCTTCTCGAGGTATCTGCTTGTGTAGAAATCCTAACATACTGTAGGCCTACAGCAAGGGATACAATATGAGGGATTCACAGTGGACCAAAAAAGTGCAAAAATACAGGACAGACATGGGGGCTGGAATTAAGTCTATACATGCATAGTGTTTGATTGCGTAAGCAAAGGTATATAAATAAAGCTATGTATGCACTTCATATGCACTGTGGGTCTCCTGGATGAACATCAACACTTCGCAGAACTTTTCATGTAAATTCATATGGCCCGTGGTATATCACTATATACTATACAGTACATTTTCACATTAATGAAACATTAATACACTAAACCATTATGGCAGCTACTTTTTAAACAGAGGATGGCAAGCTACATATTTTAAAAGCATGTTTCAACGTATTTTAATATAAATACTCATTTTACAATTAAGCTGCAATCGTTCTTTTTTACTCCAAAGCATTGTTCACTTTGTTGTAGATTTGAAAACGTTTAATAATTCTTAAGAAGCAAATACACTCTTCGAAATATCAAAGCCATATTAAATTAATTGGGGAAAATATTACAAGAAAGTAACAAAAGGGGAAAAAATCAATCTAATGGGCGTAAAACGCTGCTGCATGAACGGCTGTTTTTCCAAACGAATGCGGTGAAGAGATCTTCGATATATACCCCAGTGCAATTTCCAAAACGGAGGCCACCATAAGTCTCCCAACGCGAAGGCGCGGCATGACAGGCGGCAGGAAAAGTGCAGCCCGACTGGAAGCGAAGCAAACGGCGCCTTTAACGGAGCCTCCTAAGGTGAGTGGGCACGCTGGGCTGTGCAGAGCCGTGCACGACATGCGCGCACCCGAGCCGTGTGGGAACACTTCAAAATCTGTGGACTTAAATTTACGAAGGAAACACTTGCAAAAGGGCGTATGCTTGGGGCGAGTGGACTCTGATCAGGTAGTTACCCCGTTTTTTCGTTAATATATTCACATTAGGAGTAATGTCTGGAGGTGGGTGAGGACTAGAAATGAAGAATCCCTTTGCAGAAACACCGGCATCGAAGTGCAGAGGCCCGGAGCTAGCTAGCGTTAGATTTCTCAAGACAATGAAATGGAGCAGACGACAACTTTTGTCATTAATTAACGAGTTACTGTTTGGAAATATCACTGTTGGTGAACGTGTGCGGCAATACGGTATCGGACCGGACGATTTTTGTTGCAAATGATTAGCGGAAAATATGGTGGCCGCCTGACGGCGAGAGCTGGTTTCTCAGCGGTGTCTCTTAGTCATTCTCACCGGGCATCGGTGCAGTGTAAGCCGCTAGAGGGATACGGGACATCCTTGTGCGGCAATGCGACAGCCGGGCTCGCTGTCTGCAAAATTGCTTCCGAAGCTGGCGTCAAAATGGCTCACGGCTGATGCTGAAAACCGTGCCATTATATGTTATTATAGCCGGAAAGTGGCAATAAATGACACCTGGACGGCAGTGCTGCTGACACGGTGCATAATATTTATACCCAAACTGCTTAAAGCACAAGAAGCTTGTATTTATTTTCGGTATTTTTGGTTGCTGTCTGCCAGATAGTAAGCAACGTGCATATTAGGCATATTCTAAGCCCTTAGTTTATTTGTTGAGCAGGTCGCAATGTTGAAGTTTGCTACGGCGCAAGTTCACCGCCCTGCCCAGGATTTTTGGGTCTACTTCGGATTAGGTTATGTGGAATTTTATGGCGCTTTTGCGTGTTTTTATTGATTCGGATTCGAATCGGAATTGTGATTCGCTGAGCAGCGCGGACCACGTGACTCGCCTACACCTGCTGGGCAATTAGCTACGTACAGTACTTGCAGTACATGAAGTAAATAACAGTATTATGTGAGTGTTCACTCATAACTATCCCAGTGCGATACAAAAGATGCTTTTTTTTTAAAGATGTATAAAGCAGCTCTGGTCTGCCACTAGTCAATCCATACCTATAGAAACTAAGTTAACATTTTTTCTAAAATTTCATTCAAACAGTGATTCCATGCAGTGTTTCTTATTGCTTTATTGCTGTTTCACAACATGAAATATAATATGTAAAGTATATACTATTGTGAGATCAAATTAAAAGATGTTGCTTATGGGTGGGAATCGGCAGTGACCGTCCAAATCAATATTATATTGCCGATTTGATATGTATTGCAATTTTTAAACAGATTTTGCTGAAGAGCATTTCAGGTGTACATTTAAAGTAAAGACAAGGGCTGTAACAGTACAAACATTCGTTGTGTGCCTTTCAGTTACAGCATTTTCAGTTTGGAACAAGTAATGAAATTAATTAACACATTTCTTGACATGGGTGAAACCTAATATCACAAGTAGATGTTCAACATGGTAAACATTATGCCAATTGTGGCTTTGAGTTGGTTACAGCTAGTGCTAGAGAACTCAAAGCCCCTCCCACATCACTTAAATCAGTAGTTTGGGAACATTTTGGCTTCATAATAAATGACGAGAGAGTGAGTGAGTGAGTGAGTAAGACTGATCGACTGACAGACTAAGAATGTCTGTTTGCTTTGTTATACCAAACTCCAATGTTTTTCTAGGAATACATACGACATACTAAGTCATTTTTGACATAATCCGAAACAAACACAGTGGCACAAATCAGTTTGTTTAGAAAATGTTCTTAGTGGTATAGTATATGGTATATTCCAGGAAGAGGTATAGAGATATTCAAGGACACACACCTTCTCATTCATAATTGCAGTGAGCCAAGCACATACATGTCAGTCCCTTAACAAATATGTGCTGTTGACATTTAATTAGGTTTCTTAACTGAAATATTGTCTTTCCTAGACTCTACAGGTGGTAGTAATTAAATTACCAGTGAATGGTTATTAGTTTTGCCTGCAAACTTTAAGTTGTAACAGTTTCACTGGTTATTACATATATAATTAAATTTAATTGATACATTACCTGAATTGTATGTATTGCCTTCTTGTTTGCATTTTGAAAAAAAGGGGTCAAAAATTACTTGTTTACATAGCATGATCATATTTTGTTATGTTTGTATATGTGTGTACATGTGTGTATATGTGTTTGTAAGTAAATTAATACTGACATAATTCTGTACTTTTTAAATGTTTTTCAGGGTGCAGATATGGCTTAAAAGATCAGTGGAATGACAACATCCAACCCAAGCACATTAGAATGTTCCTGAAGAATGTTCTGCCTGCATTTGCAATGCATACAGAATGGAGATCCTACGGTCCTGCTAGCAGCTTTAGCATGCCCTCGTGCTTTGATGACTCTAGCAGTGTCACATCTACCACTAGCAGTCTGATCCCTGGGAAAGTCCAGATGATTATTGACAGCCTAAGAAGCACCCAGTCCTCTCTCAACATGAATGAGGAGAATGGTGGAACTCTCCAGACAGGTGAACCCCGGGCCCCTGGTTACAATGGAAAGACAAGCCATGTTGTACAGAAGGCAAGACAGAGGGGGGCAATGAGCGTTGGCAGAACACAGAAACAAAATACAGAGGCCTTAAAGTTGGAATCCCAGAGCCAGGATTCTGATAGCGATGACTCTGTGGACAGAGGAATTGAGGAAGCAATTCAAGAGTATCTGAAGGAAAAGGGTGACCCCAAACAGAGCATGAAGTTAAACACAAATCCACTGCAGATGTCCAAGCAGCTGAAAAGAAACTTTTCCTCATCAGAAACACAGAAATATTTAGATAGGAGTAAAATCCTAACTGCCAGTAACTATGCTCCAAAAAATCTGAAAGCAAGCTACTCAATGGCTATGGAAAGAATCCCTTTCCACAAGGAAAAGCATGATGGGAATAGTCTGTCTATTAACATAACCGATGTCAACAAGGCTCAAGTCATCAAAAATGCAGCTGATGTGATTTCCCTGTCCAAAACAGTTCAGCCTCCTTCAGTAGTGAAAGAGGAAAAGACACCAGAATCTAGCAGTGATGATGGCATCGAAGAGGCTATTTGGCACTACCAGCTGGAGAAGAAAAAGAAACACGAAGGCTCCCGAACAACATCCAAAGTCTTTCAAGCCAAAGAAGAGTCTGATTCCAGTAGCGATGATGGCATTGAAGAAGCCATTCGGCACTACCAGCTGGAAAAGCAAAAGGAAAAGCATGAACATACCACAAAAGCCTTTAAACCTTCTCATCCTAAGCCTACCCAAGTAGGTAAAACTGCTGCACTGAGTTCAGAAAAACCTAGTAATCAAGCTTTCAAAAAACAGAAAATGTCATCCAAAAGAAAGATTTCTGAGAAGCTGCCTAAAAGTACAATTCCATCAGCTGTGGTTCCGGATCAAGTGAACACACCATTTGACAACAAGGTGGCTTTATTTAAGAATAACCCAATTTTGCCTCTTGAAACTCCACTTCCACTGAAGGTAAACACAACAGCTGAACTTATGTGTGCCGAGGCTATACTGGACATTTCTAAAGCTGTTATGCCTAGGTCCTTTGAAGAGACTTCATCTCCTTCAAACCCTTGTATTGAGTCTCCATCTTTACCCACTGAGGACTGCCCTAACTGGTCTGATAACAAAAGTAATGATAGCTCTGTTGACAGCGATGATGGCATTGAGCAGGAAATAAGGAAGTTCCTAGAATCAAAGGCACAAATGCATAAGCAGCAGCTTGTTGACACAAAATATGAGAGGAATCAAGATGACATCTGGCAGAAGAACGCTGACTCGCCACAGAGCAAAAAGCTAAAGCCTACTTTATCCCGTAAAAGAAAACGCAAGGAGGACAACTTTAAAGCTGGCAAAGGAGAGGGTCCAGAACAAGAGATTAAAGAACCAGTCTCTCAGACACGGTGTGATGGAATCATTGGTGTTCAAGCTTCTGGAAGTATTATAGACGCTTCTGTTGTAATTGATGTGACAACAAAAAGTGCAGAAACTATGAAAGATCCTGACCAGAAGTGCTATCCTGAGAATCCAAATAATGCTAAGGGTTCAGCACTTAATGAAGGAGATTCGCCTTTAGCAACTGTAAAAAATGAAGTATCGGGATCACCAATATTGGCAGATAGATTGGGAGAGAGTGGAGACAAGAGCAGCTCATTAGATAGTGATGAAGATTTAGATGCTGCAATTAAAGATCTGCTAAAGACCAAAAGAAGACTGAGAAAGAAGACAAAGGACAAGAAGGTAAAGTCAAGGAAAAAGTTTCATTCTGGTATTATGGAATTATCCCATGAGGAGTCTGAGAAAAAGAAAATTCTTCTTGAAAGTAAAATCGGTACCATCCCCAAGAACTGTGATGAAACATCTAAACATACTGTAGGTACCAAACGCAAATTGAGCAATATGAGCTCGAAACTCACAAATAAGAAGGTGAAACCCTGCATTAATTTAGATAAAAGTGGTGATGCACAAGAACTAGCTGGTGTGGAGACATTTACAGGTTGTGCATCTCAAATAGTGGAAGACAGTAGTTCTGTAGACAGCGATGACAGCATTGAGCAAGAGATCAGGAAGTTCTTGGCGGAGAAGGCGAAGGTGTCCACAATGAGCATAAGTACCGAGGAGTTCAGAAAGAAGAGTATCAGCACTACCGATTTCCCGCTGGAAAGGAGTATGTCGTTGGAAGCTCAGCAGGCTGAGATTTCTCCTACGTTAAAGGCTCCGTATTTTGAACTCTCTGAGAGATCTGGATCTGAACAGGACAGAAGTCAAGATGGACAGATGCTACAAAGTACATCTCCTGATTTTTATTATTCTCAATCCAGTAAAAGTGATCAGGCAGCAAGTAGGGAAATGGATGCTCTGAAAATGCAAAAGAGAAGCATAATGACTTTGGAGGACAGTAGGACTCAGAGTAGTAGGCCAGAGATGGAAAGGTGCAAATCAGAACAGAATTTCACCTCTAACTGTATTACAGAAGCCGGACCGATAAATCAGGTAATGCCCTCTGCAGAAACGACGGCTTTTCAGTCACAGAGTCAGAACCTGTTCTGCTATAGCGAACTCAGCCCACATAGCGATAGGAGTGTCAATATGACCAGTGCAACCAATTTGCAAAATGCAGTCATCAAGCATCAAGATAAAGGTAGCGAGTCTGCAAAGGAAGTGTGTAACACGTGCCCATTAACATGTGACACTGAGAACATGTGCAAGAATACATTAATGAACCCTTTCAAGCGTTCCCCTGAAACCGCTTCACCTGCCAGCCTTCCATATTCCTCCTGTTTGCCTGACAGGCTATTCAAGCAGGACACTGTTTCAGACCAGGGCCATCCGGAAGGCACCTCTCTGTTGGAGAACATGGTGCAAGTCAAGAAAGACCCTGTGACGTTCTCCAAAGAAGAACCCCATGAGTTCTTCTGTGTTCAGGTCAGGAATAGGGATCTCATTGGGGCAGAAGATGGGAGGAATTGCTATGGAGAAACTGTAGATGGGAAACAAGTGGAAGGAGAGCAGGTGAGAGAGGAAAGGAAGGACTGTGTGGAGAACAGTTTTGAATCATGTGAGGAGAGAATAAGTGCTGATCAGAGGTCAGATCAGAGTCAGAATCAGCATCCTGGATTGTGAGTGCATTTTGTAACATATTATTTTGGGTTTTTCTGTTACGGTAAACCTTTGGAATGCCTTCCTTTTGAGATGTTCATTTATTCCAGCACTTTCATACTTATATTGCAAGAAATATTAGAAAATAAGTGTCGTACAGGTTTTTTTGTACATTTTTACATTTCAAGGGTTATTTAAACATGTTCACACATATTAAGGTGATATTGTAAATATTCAGGGTTTTTTTTAGTATTCAGAACTCAAAAAGACCCCATTAGTCAGTAACCCCTCTCATTCTATTCATGCTTTTTTTTCTTTCCAAAAACAGATGGCACATTGACTATACATACTGTCCCATGTCTATGTGTAAAATGGGCTTATGTGTAATGTACTAGAGGGCTACTTCCATACTAGATTTCAGTACAATCCATTCCACTGTAATTGATAATTGCTAATACCCATTTGTTCTGTCCATGCCCCAAATGAAAAAAATACAGAGAAATTTCATTAAACGGTGAAATGCAGCAATCTGAAACTATGAAAACTTGTGTACTCGTGGCTCACCAGGAGTTTGAGACACTCTCACTCCACAGTATCGCAGACCAAATAACAGTTGATATTTTCAGTGTACAAACTGTGAGAGCTTTTGTGCAAAACTATGTTCTATGTAGTACAATAATTTATAATCCACACAGGTTTTTGCTGTATAGTTACCAATGTATGTATTGCCAAAGTAGTATAGCATACTAACTATAGTGTTGTCAAAGCAGATACAAACATTTTTTGTCATGCTGAACCTTGTAAAGGGTGGAATCTAGATTGGATGCCACTGTCACTCTAATATAAATAAGATTTTGATACTGATTCACTGTCTAGTTTTTGTTTAAACAAGCATATTCTCATGAGACAGGTTTCTTTTTATACATCTTGTGTTATGTATAACAATCATGCTTTGGTTGGTAGTCCGGTATATGTTTGTAAAAAGCTTACATGTGTTTTTTGCATATGTTATAATTGTATGCTTGAACTTATCAAAGGACCAATAATGTACATTTATGTTATACTTGGCTGGTGAAATGAAGGTTTCCTTATGTACAATATATAACAGAGGGGAAAAAATAGCCACAGTACAAACTAAGATTTAATAATGAAAAGGGTGCTACAAAAATGGAACTGGTACCTAGAAATTGTAGTTGAATATTGGTCTGATTAAATAGAATGATTGCCATCCCGATACAAATTCTGAAACAATATTACAATTTCTTGTGCTGTTATCACATTTCTTACCTACTTATGCTTTTAAAAAGAATTCTACTTGCAGTGACTTCAATTAATCTTGTCTGAGGTTGCTTTTTCTGTTTTGTATGCAAGTAAACCACTACCCAGCTGTTGTTGGGAAAATGGTGAATTCACTGATGCCCGAGCAGAAGAACAACACAGCCTGAAGACATATGGGTTGGGGCTGACAACAGCATTTATAAATGAGTAGTGAAATGGAGAATGAATTCTGTAGAGACCTGGTCTTCTGGGAACAAGAGGCCACTCCAATGAGAATAACCACTGTGAAATTCTCTTTCTGTGGTACACTAAAAGTTTGTGGACAGATTTGTGTTAAGATCATCTTTATCATGGCCTGGAACATCCAGGAAACTCCCTGGAAGAAGACATCTGATTGGTTCTTTAGTAGAAGTGTTTCAGTACTCGTTTTGATCTTATTTTTTCCAAACATCTCCAGTCATTTAAGCCTTTTAGAGATCATTAAACAAAATTGGACAGTCAGTCTGGGGGTACAGGTATATGTCTGTATTTGTGTGTTCCATTAGCCTCTCCAAAGGAGTCAGGCATGGACCTCTTCAGCTGTCCTTTGGATTTTCCATATTAACTATTCTGTTTTCTCGATGTTACTTTTTCTCATTTAATTGTATATTAATCTGGATGGGTTAGAACAGTAATTGACATCCATTCACTTTCTTACCAGACTATACACAATGAATTTATTTCTTCCTCCATAACTAAATCCATCTGCTATTGAGTGATATACAACTAGCTGTAAAAAGTATCCTTGTTACTGGTCTAAACTGGTAATGGTATGCAAAATCAGCAGGGCTGTCTTTTCCATTGTTTCATCATTTTATGTTGAGTAATGTCTGGCAGTGCTTGCGCCTCCTATTTGTATGTAAAAAGTACTGTAATTTATTGCTGTTTTTACAGAACAGCAATAAGATCAGCTGATGGGTAGCAACTCCTATGTGCATTGAATTAATTGACCTTCTCTCTGTCCCACTGATTTTCATTAACAGTTTTTAATCATTCTTTTGTTGTGCTATGTGTATGGCAAAACCTTTTTTTGAATTCCTAATGTGAAAAAAATGTTATTTATTTTTGTTTATACAAAAGAAGAGACTTTACTGACCATGCTGTGCATTGCCAGTTTTCATAAATATTTTGCAAAAAAAGTTTTCCCCTTTTCCCTGTTTGAGGATAAAAAAAATGTATGTATCTTTAAAGAGCAGCTGTCAAATAAAGAGTGAAATTATAATAAAATGTTGATAATGACTTCACCGAAGATTAAACAGCTGTGCATGGGTTGCATATATTGGAGAAATCCTCATAATTTTGAGTTGGCTAATCCTGCTCAAAATGGATTGAAAATTCAGCTGCCAAAAAAGGTCTAAGGTCAGATTCAGAATAAATTATCACATGCAAGTGGAGCTTAGGTGGCACTTAAAATTACCTCCAGAATTTATCAAATAAAATTGTCCTTTATATGGATTAATTTGCCTTAGTTTGCTTTTTTTTCATGGTAATATCAAATCAGGCTCTAGTTCATACTTTATATTCCCAAACAAATAAAAAAGAGGCAGCACAGTCTGAGTCCCAGTGTGTATAGTTGTTGCATGTACTCCCTACACTTGTATGAGTGAATAAGTGCCTAATAAGACTGTATGTTTCTTGGGATGGACTGGTATTTCCTTCAGGCTGTGCTACTTAAGATGAGATACAGGCTACCTTTTACTGGGCAAGTGAATTGGAGTAAGTGAAACAGTTATGAAATGTCCTTAATTATGCATTGATTTTAACATGATTCAAAACCATAGCTTAATCAAAACAATCAAGTATGCTATATACAATGGGTCAGTGGAACCAGAACTGATAAAAAAAATACAATGCTGCTTAAAAATATAACACAGTTACATTTTTCAGATCAGAATAAATCAACTGCTTTAAAAAAAAGCTTTCAAAACTCTTGAAAAAATTCCTCACTTCACAGATAAAATAAGGCCATTTTTGCACACTTATAAACAGTTCAATATGTCCATTTTCTTTTTACAACTGCCCCCATGTGGGCAAATGGTAGTCCTGACAGTTATCCCTGGCTCTGAGTGTACCAGGGTGGTTCATTTCTTTGGGATCTCTGGGATCAGGGACCAGGAAAACTTGGAACTGCAACTGAGAACTCAGCCTACCCCTGATGTCTTTATGTTTAAAGTTAGTGTCTTTATGACACTAACTTTAAGATGCAATGTGCTTTATATTAAGATTAGCTCCCACAGCATCTGGAGTCAACAACATGTATGACGATGACTCGTCTGGACATCATCCATAAAGGCTAAGTATCAAAGAGCCTTCTCTGATCCAGCATAATCCTGTAGGTGTCCATCATGTAGTGAATTTATTATCAAACTTCATTATTAATTTAAACGTAACCAATTTGCCCCATGCCTCAGTAAATAATAGATTATTAATTCAATATTTCAAATAAGTCCATTTTTAAAGGGACAAGAGAGTGAGTTGTTTTTTAATGTGTAATGTGTGGGCAGAAAGTATGGGCAGCCAGTATGCCCACTCAATAACTCCATGATGCTTCTAACATCAACATCAAATCAAGTTCATCCTAACAGTAAAAAGACTTTCATGACCTTCTTTTAGTTTGTGAAAAACAGAATTGTGTACTTGTGCAACAGGTTAATATAAAGTTATGTAAAGTCAACAGGAAATAGTAAAGAGGTGAATGAGCTCATTGGAAAGAGCCTGAAAGAAACCATGACTCCTCCCATTTTCAGAATACATAAGGTTTAAAACTTAGTACATTGTAGAAGAATGCATCATGCATTTAGAATAAAAAAATAAGATATTTCACAGAATATGGAAAGATACTCCAGTCTTCCTCTCTTAAATATTTTATATTAAATATTATAGCCTTGTTTCTGTTATTGTGGAACTGCAATATTTTTGTCTGTATATAAACAAATATATGCATTTGTATTATAAACATCATTTTCGTTTGCATTTGAGGTAAAGAAATAAAGCTTTGGGGCGTGCACTTTAACCTAGACGATGCAGAGAATTGTGGGAAGCTGAGTTTATATTACAAATAGAACTCGTATACTACTGCCCGTTCTGCGTCCCTGTTGGCCCACCAATGACATCAACTCCCGACAAGCCTTGCACTTAGATCCGCTTGGGCCGGCGACTCGAGAAAGCATGGCGACTGGAAAGCTTGTTAAAGGTGAGATGGAACTGTTCGATTTTAATTTTACTATGTTTTTCTGTATTGTATTAACACATCGTATAGATTGGTAAGGTACTTTTATTTGCGTGTATTTGCGTTTAAGTGACGACTGATTTAGTCATGATCAGGGTGCTTTAACGCCAGTTAGCGGTGACATTCATTTGGGTTTTGTGACATAAAAATGGTTACATATATAAAACGATTATGCCTGTGGTCTGTGTTTAATTCAGTGTTTTGGAGGTTCGGCCGTCCAGCACAGCTATCGGCAAGACTGTCCGACATCCACGCTCATGGTCGACTATACGCGAGTGCGGCGGCCGCTCAGACTGTTCACAATGACATCCCAGGTGCACATAAGCTCATGTTCTTGTGTTCATCTCATAAAATTTGAAATATGTTGCAAATACCTGTAGGCAAGAACTAATACGCTACAGTTTCCACTTATTTATGTAACATTCCTATTATTCCTATTCCTGCCTTTAGGTGAAAATCGAGTTCTCACTCAACCCCTCAGTCACCCGGACTTCTTCCGCCTGTCCGAACTAATTTCCCTGAAGGATTTATTTGAGGCCAGGGTTCACCTCGGCCATAAAAAAGGCTGCAGACATAGGTATAGTAATACTTTATGCATTCTTTTTGTATCTTTTTCAGTTCATCCTTTCATCCATCTTCCATAACCAATTATCTAGTACACTGTCACTCTGAAAATGAAGCCTTAAGATTTAATGTATTTTAAACATTGCAAATTCAAAATGATACATTGGGCAATATGTAGTGTTTAACATATATTGTAAAGGAATTTGCTTGATTATTTGTTGAATTTCTAGAATAGCCAAGATATTGTAAGCTGTTGTTTTGGGAAAGTGATTGCTTAAAAACCAGTTTACTACCATTGGGTGTTAATTTGCTCATCTTCAGATATGATGCTGACATGATGTGATATGATACGATACTTTATTGGCAGACGTAAGTCTGAAATTTTTCTTGCTAACTTTGCAGGCTAATGGAGCCTTATCTGTTTGGCTGCCGGCTGGATCAGGACATTATTGACCTGGATCAGACTTTGGAGCTGCTGCAGCAAGCACTGAATTTCACAGCGCACGTGGCGTACCGGGGGGGAGTGATCCTCTTTGTCAGTCGACGCCGGCAGTTTTGTCACCTGGTTGAGAGCATGGCGAGAGACTGTGGGGAGTATGCTCACACACGCTTCTGGCGCGGCGGACTGCTCACTAACGCACCCATCCAGTACGGCCCAGGCGTGCGTCTTCCTGACCTCATCGTCTTCCTCTCCACCCTAAATAATGTCTTCCAGCAGCATGTAGCTATTCGCGATGCAGCTAAGATGAATATCCCCACTGTTGGGGTGGTGGACTCCAATTGTAACCCCAGCCTAGTGACCTTCCCTATCCCTGGCAATGATGACACTCCTTGTGCAGTGGAGCTCTACTGCAAGCTCTTCAAGATGACCATCAACCGCGCCAAGGACAAAAGGAGGCAGATGAATCTGCTACATGGTTTCGTAAGCCCAGGCTCTGAAGAACCACGTTCCTAGAACAAGTAAAACATTTTATCACGTTTATCAACAGCTACTCTGTCATCAGGGAAGGAATATTTGCAAATAACCAGGATGTAAAACAACATCCTCATCTTATTTTATGTAGTTACAAAAAGGGTGTGCTTATATTTGTGTAAGCCAGAACGTTTGCTTCTAAATTTCAAGGTTCCTAAAATGCCTATAACCAATACCTTTTGTCTTTCATGCCCCGTTAAATTACATGTGTTTTGCATTTTATTGGCAACTTTGACATACTGCACATAATGTGGGCTTGTTTTATTACCCATTTAGAGTATATATCTTCAAAAAATTATTAGTGACCTGCATGCTGATGTAATGTCCTGAATGAAAAAGTTTATGTACACTTGTGTGTAGAACAATAAATACATCTGGTTGAACTAAAACTGTTGAATTTTGCACAGTAGGGCTCGGTCTACTTGAAGTACAACATGATGCACTGGGGAAAATGTACCACAACCCTACAATTCTATCCTGTTGTATGGAGCCCCCTAGTGTCAGATGTGGAAAAAAGAGCAGTGTATAAGTCTGTGCTCCTGATTTTTAATTAGATTTGCACTAGGGGGCTCTGTACTAGTCCATGTTCTCTGAAGAAAAAAAATCCAGTTACAAGTCCATGCACACAGTTTATAAAACCATATGTAAGTATTACAAAAGTATGGGTGTGAATGGTGAATCCATAGGCACAGTTTACAAATCTGTGGGCACTGGTAATGCTGTTGACAATTACTACTACATGTAGATTGGTGTGACTAAGACAAACTTCTTTTTGCAATTCAAAGTAAAAGTTATTTGGGCAATGGTACCAACACCATTGCAAGAAACTCACTAGAACTTTTTGCTGTTAGAGGTCCAGTTCAGGAGATTTGCAAATTAGCTGATCATAGGAGACTAATACAGTGCCGTTTTTTTTGGTAATATTCTCATGTCACACAATTGTCAGAGCTTGCAAAAATATTCCATAATGTATACACAAAACGATGATGTTGACCTTTATGTGAACCATTGTAATTCATTTAGGTTACTTTTAATGGAAAATTTTAGTATATGCAGATAAAGGCTTCATTCTGGTATTTTCTTCTATAGCAATTTAAATGGTACAGAAATAGATAACTGTCATTCAAAGGGCATGTGTATTATACAGATGAACACTATGAAGAATCAGTAGGTAGCTGGAATTATTCAAACCCACAGGTCTGAAGCTTCAAGTAAAGAACGCTATTGACAGCCATTCCAAAGAATAAACAAGAAAGTGACCCTAGCCACATCTCCTGTATGACTTTGCGATTATTGTTGTTGCAATTTTTCTGAATTGCTAAAACACATCCTTATTCTTGCTAAAGTGTTACAGTATGATCAATGCAGACGATCATACATGTACCATACTGTACACCAGGGGTCGCCTACAGGCATCTACAAGAAAATATCATTTAATCTGGACCACTGGATCAACCCCCCACCCCCGCTCTGTAAACTTTGTCATGTTGCTTACAAAATCTGGCCCTCGGGGAAAAATAGTTGAGGATCCCTGCAGTAAACTGTATGTTTACTAAAAAGTATGTTATATGCTTTGATCATACATTGCTTAATGAACAGCTATCTGTTTTTCCAGTACTGATACTTTACAATCAACTATATATGTAAAGATTCAAAAGACCCAAGCAAAGATTTTTTCCTGCCATGTCATGAACACTTTATTATTATTATTTTTATTATTGTGTAATGACTGCTCAGTAGTGTATGTATTAACTGGCTTTGTGTGTGACCTGAAAGTAGTGTTAACTTTTCAGACAAAGGTGAAATAGTTTTGAGAGAATGATTTGATTTTGATAGACAAGTCAAAAGTTTTTTGAATGCCATTTGAAGATTCGGTTTTATGTTTGCTGTTTTGTGAAAAGGATGCAATTTTCCAGGAAATATGTTATTAAAAATAACATTAAAAATGTATTAACAAGTAAACCAGGGTTGTCCAACTCCAGTCCTGGGGGGCCGGAGCCCTGCGCATTTTTGGGTTTCCCCTCATTTAACACACCTGATTCAACTCCTTGTACTAATTACCACACAGCTCTTGAACTGAATCATTTATGGTGGAACAGGGAAAGAACTATGCTACACAGGGCTCCGCCCCCCCAGGACTGGAGTTGGGCACCCCTGAAGTAAAACAACAGGTGGTGCTATGGTTTTAGCAACTGGTGTGTGATTACACAGCATCCCGTATAAAAACCAGGTAAATACATGTTGTTGTGATAAGATAGTTCTGAAATACATAGATGTATAGAGTATTATTTTGCATTTCGATGCCGGGTATTTGTCTTGCTAACATTTTCTTAGCACGTCAAATTTGGCGGGACAGCATTTCATACAAGTTACGGTCGCCGAAGGGTTAATCGCTTTGTACGGTTTGTCCTGCACGCTTGCCGTAGTTCGTGTACTATAAAATGTGACGTAAAGAAGCTGCCGTCCTCTTTCCGGCGGAGACTGCGGGTGGAGGTTAGTTTGAATTTTCCTTATCCACTAAATGTGCGGGGTTGCTGTCATGTACGGTTCCTTTACTCTTTTGTTATTGCAGTTCTGCAAAACGCGATGTTAAACATACGTATTCTACACTTAATTCTGCGCGCAATCAGACTTTAAATCTTGGCTGACTCATGTTAGCCCTCCTGCCGGTTCACTAACTTGGGCTGTGTCTGAACGAAATTTACCCATATAGTTAAAATTCTCAGGCATTGGGTGCAGTTTATTATATATCGTAAATACTAATGTATTAACGTTTGGTTTACAAGATGGATGGCTAAAGATTGATAAACTGGATTATTGTTTTTTGCACTCAAATACGAAATCCGCCACTAGAGGCGTTGCAGTGCGGTTTTCGATGTCGCATTTGCTTCATTAGTTGGCGGAAAGTAAACCAGAGCTATGTCTACGCTCAGTTCCTAAATGAATGGGGACTCCGCATGACTGTTAGCTCGACATCCAAGTTACGTGATGCATATAAATCCTCGATCCAAATGTTTTCAACCCTTGTAAATGGTAGTAAATATATTTTCTGCTTGTGATTGTAGACGGAGTTTTACCAGCCAGGACGCTGAAATCTGCCGAGGCTTTGACCCATAAGTAGGTGGTGTTAGGGTTGGCATCGACCCGTTTTTAAGTTTTTGAAATGCATAAACGCTCCACATAAATTTGTGTTCTGCATCAAGGCTTTTTTTACTTTGTCAGGAACCTCTTTAAACAGGGCTTGTCCTTTGAAAAATGCAGGCGCACACAAATTTGTGCACCCTAAAAGTGCTAGGTGCACAATTGTACCTTTTTTGTGCGCCTAAAATGTGGTTGGACTTTTGTGCAATGTACTGAAAGTACTTGTATTTGTGCATATTTCTGTTTTTTGTAGTTCTAGTGTTAGTTGAGAATTTTGTCCTAGTTTTAATGCTTTAACATATTTTGTAGAAACCCATTTAAAGTGAATCATTTTTTACTGGTGAATAAAATTTGCAATTCAGAATTCAGTCTCTTTTGCATCAATACATCGGAGATTGTCCTCAATTTGCATAACACTTGCTGCAGAAGGCTCAGAAGGGAAAAGCACCATAATATTAAGATTATATGGGCCAAAATACACATCATACACAACTGAGCAAATCAAATGTGGCATTGGGTAACCCTGACATACATGTACATGAATACATTACCATGATTTCTCATGCATGCATTTTGTACAGGTCATATGCGTGGTGTGTGTGTGTACATTCTAATCGATCTATCTACGGACATAATAAATGCAGTTCTACGACGCCAGTTAAGTTGGTTAGTTAAATCGGTGTTAACTGCATTAGAGTTTGTGCACATTCACATATGTAGAGCATGTTCGGCAACACAAGGCGCCGTTTGACTCATAGCGCGATATCTATATGTTTCACGGCGGAAGACTGCATGCTAATTACGCAAGGTTATGAGGAGTTTAAATCAACGCTGTAAAGAAAGTCCAATACCACTGCAGCCAACAAAAGCAGGCAGGCTTATTGACGACGGAGAAAATGCATGCATACATTTTCACGGTCATAAAATGTGGTCTAAAATATCTCACGACCGAGTATTAGACAATGAAGTGTTTTCTGAAAAGAATCGAAATACTGTTAATAATTAGAGGCTAACAGATGCGCCACAATTCAGAAGTCGCCTATTATATGCTGCTAAGTAATGTAATGCTCCCTGAAGTTCCATTACTGTAATGTTACTCATAAAGTAAACCTATACAATATTAACAATAACTGATCTGATTTCAAATGCAATAGTAGTGGAAAGCGTACGTGGCAGCAAGTCAAGATGAAATATAAGAACATCATGTCTTTTTTTTTATTGATAGGCACGCATTTCTTTGCGCAGCTCTTCACCATTTTAGGTGCGTGATGGCGTGCACGCGCAATTGCGCACCTTAAAGGACAAGCCCTGTTTAAACATTTTTTTTTCACTAAATTATAAATACTCTGGTTAATATTATAACTGCTATGGTGTTTGGGTCATGTCTCAGTTATAAAATAAGATTATAAATCGACAATTAGTGCCCAAACTGAAATCATAAGCACACTGTCTCTCCCTGGGCAAGCAAGCAAAACAAACACCCAAAGGCAAGGTGTGCCCAGACATGTAAGGCAACACAAGACCAATTCAGTTTAGAGCTGGTGACTTACAGAGTACCCATCTCCAGTTTGCAGCCTATGAAAATGGATCATGTCTTGGCTGAAAATGTGGCAGAGGACACAGAGCAGTACAGTGATATGGATGAGCAGGTTTCTGAGGAGGAAGACGTTGTGGAGTATCAATCAGAAGACACAGATGCGCCTGATCAGTCTGAGGAGGTCATCACCGGTGCCGAAGCTGCTCCCGCAGTCAAATCCGAAATTGGCAACATCTGTTGGAGCTCAGTACCTCCTGATGTACATGGCAGGACAGCTGCTGAAAAAATCAAGAAGATCCCCGGGATCACAAGGTTTGCTTTGACGAGAGTAAGTGACATCAAGACTTGTTTTGATCTGTTTATGCCATTGTCGCTAAAAAAAGTAATCATGGCTATGACAAACCTGGAAGGGAAAAAAGTCTATGGCGACATGTGGCATGACATTGATGAGGAACACCTGGATGCTTATTTTGGTGTTGTTCTTCTTCTTGGAGTGTACAGATCCAGCAATGAGGCCACTGAAAGTCTCTGGGACACGTCGACAGGCAGAAATATTTTCAGGGCAACAATGTCACTTCAGACCTTTCAAATGATAACGAGAGTCCTCAGATTTCACAACAGAGACACTAAAGCAAAATCTGACAAGCTTGCTCCCATAAGGGATGTCTGGGAGGGATGGGTGAAGCGCCTTTCACTGATGTTCAACCCTGGGCCAGAGGTAACAGTAGATGAACGTTTTGTCCCTTTCCGTGGAAGATGCCCCTTCCGGCAATACATGCCCAGTAAACCAGGCAAATATGGTATAAAAATCTGGGCAGTCTGTGATGCAAAAACCAGCTTTGCATGGAATCTACAGATTTACACAGGCAAACCTGCGAGTGGCATCCCTGAGAAGAACCAAGGAAAACGTGTAGTCCTGGATATGACTTTTGGACTGCGGGGTCATAATATCACGTGTGCCAATTTTTTTACCAGCTATGACCTTGGACAAGAGCTTCTCAGGAGGAAACTTACCATGGTGGGCACAATAAGAAAAAATAAACCTGAGCTGCCCATTGAAATTTTGCAGGTGAAGGACAGGGCTCCACTTTCTTCAAAATTTGCTTTTACAGACACCACCACTATTGTTTCATATTGTCCAAAAAAAAACCAGAATGTGATACTTATGTCCACTTTTCACAAAGGCACAGCTGTGTCATCAGGAAGTGACAAAAAGCCCATAATTATCCTGGACTATAATAAAAACAAAGGAGGAGTGGACAACCTGGACAAGCTGACTGCCACCTACACTTGCCAGCGAATGACCAGGAGATGGCCAATGGTTGTGTTTTATAATATCCTGGATGTGTCTGCATACAATGCATTTGTGTTGTGGACCCACATCCACCTAGGGTGGAACTCAACCAAAAAACACAAGCGGAGACTGTTTCTTGAGGAGCTAGGAAATTGTCTGGTCAAGGCGCACATACAGCGAAGGGAACGGGTCCCCCGAGACCCGGCTGCCGCAGCCCTGGTCAGACAGCTGCAGAGCTCACCCAGCGCGCCGTCAGCAAGACGAAGAGTGTCAGCGGCAGTATCCTCCTCAGCCAGCCCTGCCTCAGAGTCAACCAGCACAGCCGAAGCCACAGCCTCACTGAGGCCACCAGATTCTAAAAGGAAGAGGTGTCAGGTCTGCCCTAGCAATAAGGACAGAAAGACAAACACATCGTGCTTCCACTGCAGAAAATATCTTTGTAAAGAACACACTGAAAGTGTCTCTTTTTGCCCGACGTGCATCTAAACACACACTCACATGCATGTTCTTGCACAGGTTTTTTTTTTTTTTTTTTTTTTTTTTTGAAAGTATCACTTGATTTCTATTGGTTTCATTTGCTTTAGTGATTGTTTGACCTTGCAAATCCTCCTTTTTGTATTATTAAGTTTCTTCTGTTTTGTGTTCGTATTAACCATGCTGTCGTGTTAGGGTCGGTACCGACTCATTTTGTAAGTTTAAAAATCATGAAAGCACCACATAAGTTTGTGTACTGTATCAAGGCTTTTTGACTTTGTCAAGAACTTCTCTGTAAACAATTTTTTTCCCACCAGCAAGGCATGCCCAGACATGTAAAGCAAGATGAGACCAATTCAGTTTAAGAATTCTCTTGAGGTTTATTTTACAATTTTTTAAAATTGAAAACGAGAAGTATGCTGTCAAAAGAGAGGTCCAGAAAGCCACACCAAAAATATTAAAACCAATCTTTTAATGGATAAGGAAGCCTAACAAGGTAACCAAGAGATAAGAAACTAATTGGATGATAAATTGTTTTGAGGGTATTTATATGGCTTATTTAAGACACGGGTCAGCACCGACGCATTTAACATAAGAGATAGGAACAGAAAGCTAACATAGGACAAAGGTACCAAGTGAGTGACTTGTCCTTTTGGGAGGAGTGAATGATGCTGTTGTAACTATACCATGTTCGTATGCTTTAGTAATAGATCTTTGAGTAGCGGCATTGACTTGCGTCCGTGTTGCCCATAAGGGAAACTTTAATTACAAGGGGATTAAGGAACAATTCTCCCACATTTTCTTAGAGATCAAGTAGTAACTGGAAATACATTTTTACAGTATTCTCATGTGGATTGCACATGATTATCTCTGCATGATGGCAGCCAATGGAAGTATACTCTTATTAAAGGTCAAATTACTGCTAATTTGAGATTTAGGTGGGGTTTTGGAATTGTATTTCATTGGTATTTTTTGCAGCGTATCCTGTTTTGTGAAATTACCTTAGTGAATCAACATGAGAATGTCCTGTTTGTCATTTATTGAAATTTAAGTCATCTTTCATGCATAGTGACAGCCATTTGAATAATGGTGCGTTCGTTTTTCTCTCGGAACTCGGAAATTCCGAGTTGAGTGACATCACGTCCGACAATCTCCCGTTCGAGCTACCCACATCTCGGAACAAACATGGCTGCCTCCATGAACACGTTGCTGTGTGTTGTTGCTTTATATTTTAGCAGATTTGGAGTTTTCCAAATGAAGAAAATGGAGATTTTTCCGAGAGACAAACAAGAAACACGAATTAGTCAAACCACATGAACCACATTAAAAGCTTTATAAAATATTTTAGTACATTCATAGCGGTATTCATTTTTCGAACGGTAAAGAAACTACAAACAAACCAAGTCGCCATGTTGAAATTACGTCACAGGAGCAACTCGGACCACAAAATCTTCTCCGACTTTAACGTCATAAAAGGGGCGTGTTTCCGACGGGAAGTGATGTTTTTCGTGACGTATCGTGACGTTTTCATCCGAGTTCCGACTTGGAGAGAAATAATCGAACGCACCATTAGTTCTGTGCCCTTGTTTTAATTGTGGTCGTTTCCCCCCCATTGTACATATCCAAACGATTCCGTTTCCAAATTACAGTATTATGGTTTTGGGCCAATCCACATTTTCAGTTCTGATTCAATACACGACTGCCAATACCTATACAGATTACAATTAGAGTTTTTTTTCTTTAATATTTTAATATAATAAATATAAACTCTGTGTTTTCCATATGTTTTTTTAAACTAATAAATACAGATAAAAAAATGTATGCCAAAAAATCTTTCGGCATCTGGAAACGTCGCCTCATTCGTACATCTTTTTAAGCATTTCTGAGGCATTTGGAGTTCAATCCGAATATCTTCCAAGTGAGGATATGCAAGTGCCGAATGCTTAAAATGCCCCACAATTTTTCTCCCACTGGCAAACAGCATCACTTACACTTCAGTGCAATCGGAGCCCCTCGTGTATCACAAGCTGTAGCGACTGCACAAATCAGTCCAAGCTAGCAAGTCCCAAATCATCCATTGCTGTTTTTCGTATTATTCATGTCTCTCACAATCACATGGGATTTTCCACTAAACACTTCTTCCCTCTCTCAGAACTTTGATTTTGCAAAGACTACATTTCACTGTTACTATTTGTTAAAAGCTGAAAATACTTTCAGATTGTCCCCCTCTTCCGCTGATCTTGCACTCCCCCTACTGCCAATGGTATGTGCATGATGCCAGCAGGCGGGTTCCAGCGTTAGTGTTCAACTTCAATGCCACATAACTGTTGTGCGATTGATTGTACAAATTGACTTAAATGCGAGGTATCTTCATACAGACTGCCGAAGAAAAACTAAAGTATCAGACGTGAATGTCACATATGGCCAAAACCTGATCAGTCAAATAGTCTGGATCTGTGCCAATACCAATCTGAATATTTGATTGGTTCACCTCTAGTAACAGATGTTGTCTCTGCTTTATTTCTGCAGTTTCTGTTTCTTCAATTGTTTTTTTTTTTTTCCCTCCTGATGTATTTTTGTGTAGCTGGGTACATAAAGATTAAGCAGGACTACTAAATTTTAACTTAATTACCTGCTCATAAGGATAAATCTTTACACTATAAGATGTGTAAACAAAAACTCGGAGTGAATTTTGGTTGGGCTGCAGAACATCACTTTTTCAGTGAGGTGGGGTTGTACCTGTGGTAGATGCATGTTATGTTATGGAATCTATTAAAATCAGGGCTGTAACCTTTTACTGTCTGTTTCCAGGCGCCCTGCGAGTCTTCATGTTGACTGTTTCAGTGTGTCCTGTTCATGCATTGGCTTTTCCACTAGATGTCATGTTCAGTCAGCCATGAGTCTGGTTTTTGGACCCCTCCCCCTTGCTAAAGTGCTATGGTGAGTTTGTTGCTTTTTTCCACACCCTACAGTTAGACTGCCCCCTAGAGGCTGTGCAGTGTGACTAGGTGTCATGTCTGTGTCAGTAGGTGGCGCAGAGCGAGGGGCTGCCACTACAGACAGCGCTCAGGATTTTATGGGTGCTCAGAATGACTTGCAGCCATACAGCTAGTCACTGGATTTCTGCTTAAGACATGACGGTCAGGCTGTGTGCAAATAAGTTTTTGAATGTTATCCTTGAGCGCAAAATGCTGCACTCTTGCACAATGCCGTTTTCCCCCAATGGGTGGCATAATTGAATCGATGTATTAAATGTTCATTGGAGGCCTCTATTAATCTGAAATTATTTATCTGGTGCAGGGATGAGGCTTGATGTCTGAAGTCTGCTGTCTTTTTCTAGGACTTGAGGTAAGAACTCCCTGTAAATCCACCAGTATTTTCTTATTGGGAGGGGTATTTGAATCGAAGACCCTTCCAATCATGCTGTAGTTAAATCCCATTTAAGAACACTGTAAAACTAAATTCATGGATGATTAGACTAACGGTTCATTCACCCCAAGTAACTTATCTGTATGATGTGAACTGATGTCCGCTTTGAAGATAGTACTAACAGCCATGTTTCTTGTGTAGTTTAAATATGGGGTGATGAGCACTTCAGAATCTTTGGTAGGATGCTGGTTAACTTGGGTTATTTTTCTGTTCTAGATGAATGTGTATTATATAATCATTCTGTAATTCTGACCCGTGTTATAATAAAGTGTAAATCAAAGCTGTTTCCAGCGTCATTTTTGCACACAATCGATGAAGGCTTTGCGGCCTCTTACAGAAGCATGCGACAGCACTGGGGGACAGGTTTGTGTATGTATTGTTCTAACAATGTTGACCAATGCCTTTAGATCTTGTGTAAATTTTCCAAGGAAATAAGTACCCCCCCCCCCACCCCCCCATGTAAACTAAGTTATAAGTTTGGTATTTATTGTTGCATTAAAACAGTGTAGTGTTGTATTTGCATTAGCCTTGT